TTGGTTTTTTTTACAAGTTATGTTTTTGATGGCATAATGGATATTCTTACATCGTCACTACACGGTAAACAGAGATATGCAAAATTGTTTATTAAAAGCTAAGACGTATAAAAAGTTATACGTATTGTGTCAAAGTTTTGCTGTATTTTGATAGATTGTTTTATAAAAAAAAAAATATGGGAAAATTTTATTTCACATGACAAAAATATCTGCCTTTCTTATTCGATTTTCCCGCTAAGAAATCGATTGTTAAAATTTTCAATTGTCGGTTGTCGGCTTAGTTCACACTCATGATAAAAATATTTTATTAAACTTTTAAAAATCTAATTATTCTGAAAGGACCGTGAAGTACAAAAAAATTAACATGGAAATAATATTCCGTAGATTTTAACTCAAGTTCCGTAGACGATAAAAAATTCCGTAGATCTACGGAAAAATCCGTAGAGTTGGCAATGCTGCTTGCACCACCGTTATTGCAGTGCATCCGCTCTTTTTTAACAAAATTCAGTCCACTTTTTTATGTCCAGGATTAATAAGTATTTAAATTTAAAATGCAAATGCTTGGTTATTTTTTTATTTCTAAATGAAAATACAAAATAGTTTTCAATTAAAGTATTTAAATCATCATCATCATCATCATCATTACAGCCTTTCATAAGTCCACTGCTGAACATAGGCCTCCCCCAAGGAATGCCACAAAGCCCGTGCTTTGGATTCATGTGGCTCAGGACCGTTCCTGAGCCACCTGCATCCATCAACTTCCTGCATGTCTTACCAGGTCGTCACTCCATCTAGTGAGGGGTCGCCCTACACTTCGCCTACCGGTACGAGGCTGCCACTTAAGAACCTTTCTTCCCATCGGTTGTCGGTTCTTCGAGCTACACGGCCAGCCCACTGCCACTTCAGCTTACTAATCCGTTGAGCTATGTCGGTTACTCTGGTTCTACTGCGGATATCTTCATTTCTAAGTTTATCACGCAGATAAACCCCGAGCATAGACCTCTCCATAGCTCGCTGAGCGACCTTGAGCTTCCTCATACGGCCAGCAGTGAAAGACCACGTCTCAGATCCGTAAGTCATCACTGGCAACACGCACTGGTTGTACAATTTCGTTTTCAGGTTTTGAGGTATGTCTAACGAGAAGATGACTGTGTTGTAGTTTCCCGAACGCTGCCCAACCGAGTTGAATCCGTCGATTGACCTCTCGGTCGAAGTTGGACTTACCTAGCCGGACTATTTGTCCCAGTTAAACATACTTGTCAACAACTTCGAACTTAGTGCTCCCAACAGCTACCGGCATAGGTGTGACATGGACGTTAAACATGATTTTTGTTTTGTCCATGTTCAGCTTAAGACCTATCCTTTGGGAGACACTATTGAGGTCATTGAGCATAGTGCTTAGGTCCTCCAGCTATTTTGCCATAAGGACTATATCGTCGGCAAATCGAAGGTGAGTGATGTACTCGCCATTGATGTTAATACCGCATCCTTTCCAGTCCAGTAGCTTGAAAACATCTTCCAATGCAGCGGTGAAGAGTTTCGGGGATATAACGTCACCCTGTCTTACAGCTCTCTGCAGTTGGATAGGTTTCGTACTCTGATTCTGTACTCGGATAGCCATCGTAGCTCTACTGTACAAACACTTCAGCACTTCGATATACCGACATTCCACTTGGCACCGCAAAAGTATTTAAATACAAAATGCAAAATACGTATTTTCGAAATAGGTTTTTTTTACATACATAAACAAGCGTTTTTTTTATAAACCGTGGATTTTATCAATGTTCCGTCTATGTGGTCTCATAATCATTCCACCAAACTAAAATCGTAGTTTATCAGGTGCAGAACTTGGTTAGCAAGTAATGTATATAACGAAGAGATTTTTTTAACCTTTGAACATCTGTTCAAGCATTCTTAAGTAATGTCTTCATATTTTAAATATTGTAGTGTTTCCATGTCTATTATAGTAATGGCACTATTACTGGCTGCTGAAGAATCAGAGTCCTCAACAAACATAATATAATATAGGATTCAGTGTTCTTTTTATTGTAGTTGGTATGTTAGGAGTTAGACATGAAAAAAATATTGAACTAAATAATATAAAAAAACCATTTTGCATTTTACAAGGTCGGGGGAAAAGTTTCTTCGTATTTTATATACAAATACAAGAATTTTTTTAAAAATTTAATTACATTTACTTATAATATATATGTGCCATTTTGTTCGATAACTTCTTGCCATCTTCTAGGTAGTGACATAATCCCGTTGCTGTAGGAATCTTGGGATTTTTGATCAAAAAAATGTGACTAGTAGTTTTGACAGTCCTCTCTTGATGTAACCTAACACTACCCAAATAATTCTGAGATCTCATCTGAGACCGAAACAGGTGAAAATCTGAGAGTACAAGGTCAGTACTCTATGGTGGATTTTTTTTATAGAAGAGGGGGCAAACGAGCATGCGGCTCACCTGATGGTAAGTGACTACCGCCGCCCATGAACAACCGCAACACCAGGGGAATTGCAGATGCGTTGCCGGCCTTTTAGAAAGGTGTAAGCTCTTTTCTTGAAGGTTCCTAAGTCGTAACGGTTCGGAAAATTCGCTGGTGGTAATTGATTCCACAAGGAAGTTGTGCGAGGGAGAAAACTTCTTCTAAATCGCACAGTGGTGGACCGCCAATTATCAAGATGGTATGGATGGTAACGCGAGTTTTGTCGCAATGTGCGATGGTGAAATTGAGCAGCTGGAATTAGTCCGAACAATTCCTCAGAGCACTCTCCGGATGCATTGACACTTTCCAACCAAGCTCTCTCAATTTTTGCCGAGTGGCCAAACATGTGTGTGGTCTGGCATTATCATGATTAAAGATCAGTCCTGTTCTTTTGATCAATTCCGGCCGTTTTTTGTCAATTTATTCCTTGAGTCTCATTAGTTGTTTGCAATAGAGATTTGAATTGATGGTTTTACCCGGCGGTAAAAGCTCATAATAAACTATGCCCTTCCAATCCCACCATACACACAGCATCACCTTATTGCGTGTTAATCCGGATTTCGTCGGCACAGCTTGACTACCCTTTGACAATGATCTTTTTCGTACGTTCTTGTCGTAGGTGATCCACTTTCGATCACCAGTGATCAATCTTTTCAGAAATGGTTCGGTTTTATTACGTTTCAATAGAGAATCACAAATAAGTACACGATCCTTTAGGTTTCTTTCAGTGAGCTCGTGCGGTACCCAAACATCGAGCGTTTTTGTATAGCCAGACTTTTTCAAATGGATCAAAACTGTTTTGTGGTCAATCCTCAATTCCTCGGCTTATCTGTATGAGGACGACAAGAACGAGCTGCATCTTTGACATCAAAATTCCCGGACTGAAAGGCTTGAACCAACTTTGTGCTACAAGCTGCGTGCACGAAATTAGCGGCGGTTGAGCGATCGCGGTAGCGGGACGGCGCGATGCGACAGCGACGTAATAAAGACATGGTTTAATCTCACGTATGTTTTTTTATAGAATAAGGGTGACAAACAGACACATAGCCCACCTGATGGTAAGTGGATGCTGTGCCCATAGACATCTATCCTATCCTCGATTAAGAATCAAAATGCAGATGCTTTACCACCCCTCAGGATTAAGATGGATGCTTCGTATCCAGTAAAAAGGGTTTCCGGTTCTCTACACTCACCATACAAAACACAGCAGCATTAAGCAGTTTTGATATTAAAACCAGCCAGATACAAACAGTAAAACCATAGACATTTTTTTCCAATTTTATACAAACAAAATACCTTTCTTCCCGACCTATTATTTAAATAAAGTACATTTTAAAAAAAAAGTATTTTAAATGCAAAATAATAATAGGTATTTCGCATTTTGTATTTGCATTTTAAATATGTGTATTTCGAATAGTTCATATCTCTGTAAATAAATAATAAAAAATTACAGAATTCTCAGAAACTGTTAGCAAATGTGGACAACATTAATTTGCTAATGTACATCGTTATTACATCACACCCCATCAATGAAATATTAATTGGATGAAATGGAGTTTGATTATTGCTTTAAATTATTTTTCCGTTTTTGTTCATAATATGATATAAATATATTTGTATTGATTACCTTTTTAGAAATAACTATTTATGATTAACCAAAGGATGTCATTAGCGACTAGCGACAGTGGTGTCACTCAAAGTTTGAATTAAAAATCTCTTTTATTAAATGATAGTAGCATAAATAAATAAATTCATTATTGTTAGATTTATAATAGCATAAAATAATATTCGGGATGTAAGAAATAATGGGTAATTATACAAATGTATAAAAAAATCTACCTACACAGCTCCACCCTCTGTCACCATAGAATTATTACGCGTAATAATTCTATGTCTGTCACATAATTACTATTACTATATAATTATGTATTCCGCAAGTTTCGCAGTTATATTAAAAATTTAAGTTATATTTTCACTTTGTACAAAGAAAATTTTGATTGAAATTACTTTTAAAAACATGTTAGATTAAAATAACATCTATGTACATAATATCTGAGTACCTTCAAAATAACGTATAAACTATAAAAGTTTTTTTTTTCAAATCGTATACCAATGCGCAACTCACGAAAGATTCCGAAGTTCGACGAAGAATGTCGAAACCATAATGAAAGTTGTGAAGCGGGGCTGCCAGCTTGTAAAAAACACCTACTTCGTTGCATATTGTAAACACAATATAATATATTGCAAACAGAAAACAAACAACATTTTAAAGATGCATTTTTTTGGAAGTAAATAGAAATTTAGATAATTTTTTTATCTGGTTATTTTTACTAAGTAGTAGTCTTTAAGGTACATACAAGTATATTCATAAATAAAAGATTTTAATTAATTGAAAGAAATGATTTGTTGGTAAAAACTTGGCAGTTTCTGTATCTGTGTAATTTATAATTGCGCAGCCAATTTTTGAGACCCACGCTGGCAACACGGTATGACTTTTTTTTACTCGCGCTCAGTTCGTCGACAGCATTCAGAGGGAGAGTATGTTACGTCTTTGCACTCGGCTCGAAACTACTTTTACGTAGAACCGTTGAAACCGGTTTTGAAAGTGTACGAGGTGTGGCGTGGACTAGTGCCGCTTACCGCATTCAACCATAAAATACTCTTTTTAAAGTTCAAAATCAATTTTTGTGTACATTAAAAAGTGCAACAAGTCCTGTGAGTCACTACCTACTTTCGAAACGCTATCTTCAAATCAAGGTACGTAACGTAGCTGATACAATTTCTTTGTTATCAATTTATCAATTGATCTGTTTTTATGCTTCTACTCCTATGCTTATCCAAATATTTTTTTAGAAACTAAAATAAAATAGGTTAAAAAATAATCACTTTTGTAGCATGAAAGTAGCTCACTTTTTAATTCAAAACATAATAATTCGCCAATTTTCTCCAGAACGGGGTGATGAATTATATTGTTACGCCCATATCCGTAATTGGGTAAACAGAGGTGGACTGACACTGACATTACACCCACGTTTCTTATTGTAATTTATAATATCTTAATTTTTTTTTAAATTTAGTTTATGAATAATAAAACAACAGCAAATTTTAAAACTTACTATAAGACAGTTAAGAACATAATAATAACACTTGTTATTTAGTTACATATCAATTTTGTAGTTATTATATTAGTAAATAAGGCACGGAAAGGAATAATTTACCTAACCTAAACATGCTAGTTCTTATCTTATGATCTTTAATTCATCGAAGAAAAAATAAATATAAGATTAGTTCTTAGTTTCTCCTTATTTCTTAGATAGATATATATTTTATATTTTTTTATATATATTTTATATATTTATAAGAAAATTAATTACAATACTTCTGTTCCACCTTACAAAATATCGAAATTTACCTAGGTAATCGATTATTGAAAATTATATTCTACAAATCTACAAGTCACAATCCAAAGCGGTCGCTTTATTCAGTCTGACTCATCGGAAAACAATTTTATTTAAACCCCATATTATTTTACCCACTTTGGATGGTTGGTAGCTATTAGCTGCTAGCTACCTCCAATTACGATTTTAAATTCTTATTCCGATTAAGTGATATGTAAATCGTTTATGTAATTCCAAATAAAATATCTAGCTTGACTTAATATTGATCACATCCGTGTTTCTTTCTTTAATCTGAGATCCGTGCCATAATTTTACACTTTATTTAGCTTCGTTAGTCAGTTTAATTACATTTCTTAAGAGTCCGACCTGACCAGTCCTTTACATACATCAAAGTGAATCTTCATCAAACAGCGGTATTTCCTCACGGGTTTAACTGCGATCGAGGCATGTTTTCTATACGGAACGTTTGAGTATTGCGCTTTTTATAGCTTTTCGGTGAGGATAACCTCACCGAAAACGGATTTCATTTTGTATGATAGAAGTAATCGATAGTTATATTTACGACTAGCGATCCGCCCCGGCTTCGCACGGGTGATTTCTGGATCTCGACAACATCGCCACCTACCGGGTCCAATTGTGAATCTAAACCATCCAGAGACCCAGTCAAATGCACACATAAAAAATTTCATCAAAATCGTTCGAGCCGTTTTCGAATTTTAGCACAGAATAAATATGTAATAGGTTTTAGCGAGACTAACGGCATAGAGTAAAGAGTAAACGGTATCTTTATTCATGTGCTAACGGACAGCAATTGATTTTTATAAAATGTGTAAATTATTTAATCGATAGGAAAGAGGTAAGCATTCAAGTGGCAGTCTCGTACTGGGAAACAAAGGGGCGTGCCCCCTATATAGATTAACGGCCTGGTAAGACGTGCAGGAGGTCCATGGATGCAGGTGGCTTAGAACCATGCTTTCTATTTCCTTGGGGTGAGGCCTATGTTCAGTTGTGGACTTCTTAATGGTTGTAACGATGATGACGTTGATGGTAATGATAATGATAATGTGTAAATTAAATGTATTTTATTACTTAATTTTTTTTTTAAATTAGTGACAATTATCTTTTGGTCATATTTTGTTTTTTCCTTTAAAGAAAAAGCAAGCAAAAGTATTCTTAAAATTTTAGACTTATACATCTTATAAGTCTAAAATTGAACGCAAAAATAAAATTCCCAAAGATTTTGAACGGTTATTGAATATGGCCAGAGAGGGCCAGACTGTTTTGAACTTGCGGTCAAATAATAGTTCAGTCGGAAATATATTTGTGTGTATGAAATTTTTATTTTTATTTTATTGCTATTTTTAAATAAATTATTTTTATCATCCATCTAAAATAAAGAATTATGAGAAAATAAGAGACAAAATTAACAAATGCGAACGTTCATAAAATAACGCCAGGCACACTTTATTTTCCATATTAGTCTAGGGCTCTAGGCTTATGGGGACCAATATTTTAGCGAGCCTAAAATATCATCTAACCAAAATTCGTCATGGCTCTTGGGCTTTCGGGCTAATAGGTAATTTGACATGAAGCCACATTACGCCTTTAAGGAAACCTCTGGTAGGTAAAACTTTGCGAAAAATAATTTACGGTGCGGTACCTCCGAACGTAATTGTCCGTTACTAAACGTGCCGCGGTTTAAAAATGACTTATTATACCGTCAAAAATGCTCGACGCCATATTTTCTAAAGGCGAATAGAATGCTAGGTAGACACAAACGAGTCTATGCCCGCGTGCGCGGCAACCGGTTTGGACGAGTTTCGTTTTATTCAGAATCCTTGCTTCTAGGATAGAGTTACCAGATTGTATCCTTTCTCATACAGCGTGAAACAGAAAAATGGTACCAGTCGATTATTCTATATTCTGCTTGATTGTTACAAAATATATGTAATCACAATATCTAAAATATTATGTGCTAAAACAAAAGTGATTGTTGTCACTTTTTATCCTAAAAGAGTCCTAAGTATATATTTCATCTCAGGTACATAAAAAGTTACTTACATTACATAATATATAAACTATAGATTACAATGTCGGAATTTCAGTATAATCAGAATTAAAATATAAAATTACTTTTATTATATTAATGATATTGTATAATTCTTCGCAATTAGTTTTGAAGACTGGTTGATTTTTGCAAATGATTTTTTTTATAGGATAGGGTGACAAACGAGCACACAGTCCACCTGATGGTAAGTGGTTGCTGTGACCCACAGACATCTACATCTACATCTATCCTCAATAAAGAATCAAAATGCAGATGCGTTTTCACCAGTGAGGGCTGACATAGAATGTCAATTGAAAATAATGAAATTAATTTGTTTGGTATAATAGTCAGGTATGGTGATATAAAAATTATAGATTTACAAAATTAGATGTTTCGATTTCGATCAACAAAAGCTTGTCAAATATCCGGATAATAAGTTAAAAGTGGCTACCTTATTAGTATGCTATTTTAGAGCTACTTGCTTACAGCTACATAATGTAATATAATAATGTTTCGAGGTTAAAGCCGCTTGGATGATGATGCGTGTAATTAACATATTTAAGTATTAACTATGTGGCAGTTTATTGACGAAGTGTCTTTTTTCTTTACATTAGTTCAAACAATATTATGCAGTTAAAATAGTACCTTTCTTTTGCGATTATGCAAAATAAAAGTATTATAAGTAATTTGCTAAAATAAAACACAAGGTTATTATAAAGTGACACGTAACTAATTTGTCATTAAAAACAAAGACTCGACTTTTGTACCGTGTATTAGGTAATGGTACTGAAAGCAAATTACATTTTTTGCGTTCTTAATACTGGTGTTATTAATTATTGCCTATTACGTTTCGATAAAGATAAAACTAACGACAATTTGCACTGCACAACCCTTATCGCCAATTAGTCTACTTGCGGTCACAAGGGAACTGACACACATTATTACACACCCGAAAAACATTATTCTCTTTTTGGAGCAGTCGGGTAAAATATTAGTCTGATATGACTTTCTCCTATAATATAAATTTAGTATGTGGTAAGATTTGACTTTTCTCTCAGTTTTGAAAGTGTTATGGATGTTGCAGGCTTGAGGACTTCGCTTGTCCTCAAACAGATAATATATATTTAATGTAAGCATTAAATGCATATTGCATACATCCAATAATTAGGAAGCTAATTATAATCATTTTCATTCATCGCCGGCCATGTGTTGTGTGCCATTTCAGTGACGCTGGCTCCGGGAATCGAATACAATAATTATGTTCGCAGGGTTTTTTCCGAACCAGTGGTGAAACATATTGCTTTCTGTTTTTTAAAAAAAGAACTGTGTGTACTTTTTTATGTATATATGTTACGCGATATATTAAACAAATAAGGCCATGGATGCGTTTGTCCCTTGAGAATAAAAAAATGTGCAGCCGCCATGCACCAGTGAGTTTCACTGCTGCATGGCGCCTGAAATACAAGAATGTAATTAACCCAAATCAACACTTGGCAGAAAACCGCCTCGTGTAACTTTTTGACGTAATAATTAGCAAAGTATGTCATTAATTGATAGTCGTAAAGTATGGAAAATAAGGCCTCGGCAGTAATTATATAACCGAATTGAAAATTTCTTACGCTTTTTAAAATCAAATGAGGAAAAATCGTAACGAAACACTCAACAAGAGACGACGAAGTCTATTCTTGATAAAGAAAAATAGCTTTATTACGGATGAAATTGGGAAATATGAGACATATTTAGTTAGTACCTATGTGGCTTCATATATAGAGATAAAAAGATTTCAAACATCACAACGGTATTATATACACAGCAAGTAGGTAGGTAGGTACTCAACGCCGATAAAATGTAATTAAAACTTCAACATCAACAGTGAGTACTCGCTGTGGGTTGTCCAGTAAATACCGTAATGTTTGAATTTTTTTATCTCTATGTAAAAAAAATCAAGTAGCTCGCTGGGTGGTTTAGATTCACAATTGGATCCGGTAGGTGGCGCTGTTGGCGAGATCCAGAAATTATCCGTGCGAAGCTGGGGCGGACTGAATTAGAATAATATGTCGATATTTTTCAAATGCTATTATTATAAATTGACTTGATTGAAATCTATGACACCCCCTGGGATAAAATTCTGTGAAAGAAACCTTGCCGTTCTTGACATATATAAATATTTAAATTTTTATCTTTTTTCTTTAACGAATCCCAAACACTTGTATCTGCAACAGGTTGCGTGATTGCGAACAGGGGCCCGTTTCAAGTGGCGCATAAAAAGTAAAAACTGTACAAACCGGCGAACCGTATAGTTAAACTGGGTT